TCTAATTTGATTTTTTTAGCTTGTTGTTGATACTCTTCTCTGAGTTTTGGACTTAATTTACTCCACAAATATCCAATAAAACTTGAAACTTGATGATTGTTTAAATGACTGAACTTAGCCTTAACCATATGGCATATTTGACTTTGAAATATCATAAAGCTATTTGAAGGTTTTTTTGCTGTTTTTTCATTATAAGATACATTTTCTGCTGTATTTAAAATATATGCTGGGATTTTTATATTTAATTCTGGCAATTCCTTAATCATATCTTTCGAATTTACATTCTCACTATTTTGAACTAAAATCGATGAATAACCAGTTGGAATGAAAACAGTAATTCCATTAACTCTATTGCTGCTTTTAATATTGGAATACAGATTTTGTTCTTCAATTAGAGTAAAATTATCGAAATTCATAATTATTAATTCGATATAATCATTTATTTGATTCTATTCTCTTTGAAATTTCATCATCTAAATAAATAGATTTTAAATAATGCAAACAAATTAGAAACAATTAATTAAATTTTTACATTCAAATGACAATGTATTTTTCTTCAATGCTTTTGTGACAGGCGCTGGACTCAGATAGAGGTGCAATCCGTAGTTAATATAAAGTAGTTTATTGTAAAACTGTAGTTAACTGTAGTTTTAAAATAAACTATAGTTTATTTATAAGTATTGTAATTCACAGTTCGCATCTCTTGACTCAGGTTAATATATAGTTACATATCGTGTTTTTTACGTGACAACGCCACATTAGAGTTATTTAAATCTTTTGTTATATTCATACTAAGCAACTAAAGTATTGTAGAAAGTTGCCAACTATATTATTTGAATTACGCCCAGGGATAATGAATTACTTTATCTGGGTATATCAAATTGTGTCAGATGTATCGCTAATAGCAAATAATCGAAAAAAGCAGTATATTTCGATACAATAGAAGCTCAGAGTTCGAACAATGCAAATATGATGGTAAAAAGATTTGGCATGCACTCTAACCCTAAAACCCACTTACAACATATACTTCAGCTAATTAAAGATTTAAAAATTTAGAGAATTTCTTTAAAAAAATATATTTAATTACCTTTTGAATTTTTATTATAAATCTAAGACTATTGGATATAATATTTAAAATCCTGATAAATTAGCAAATGAATTCTTACTGACATAGTCGAAGCAATATTAACTGTTTACATAAGCAGACAAGTTGATATGTTCACAAATATCTATAGCATTGGATATTCAAAAAAATATTACAATAGAATAACTTCCATACTAATAATAAAAATCAGCCTCTTGAGTGCTTGAGCGAGTAGATGTCAAAAGGATTGAAGAAATATGTGGCCTTTCAAGAATAAAATTTTGATCAACGCCTTGCTATCAACTTAGGTAATGCAGTATTAGACTTTATGATAATAAAGTATTTATTCGAGAAATATCCTGAGCACCTTGCAGCTATCAACAACCAAGTTCTTGGAGTATTTGTGAACGAATCAATCTTCATAAGCACATAGTTCATTTTTCCAGTAAATTAACAGGAATTTGTTAATGCAAGAATATTGGCTCAAGTTATGTTGTGCATGATCCTGAATTTGGGCAGCAAGCAAAGTTCGCAGCACAGGAGATTTTAGATAAAATTGATTATAATCTAAAATTCTTTGAAAAAAATTTAATCTTGCAAGTTATTCAGTGACGATAACGACGAGATACTATATTAATATTTTAATATTAACGATAATACTAGGAATAGGTTGTTTTAATCGCTTTAATCGGTTTCAAATTTTCCTGATGAATGAAAAACTCTTTTATTTTTTCCTTTGCTCTAACATACTATTAAAACATTTGTATCATTCAATGATCAAAATTTTTAATATAAAAAGCCGATATTTGGAAGATAGCTAGGTGAAACATCTAAAAACAAACATTTAAATATCGTATAGATGATATAAATATAAATAATATAATCAATAAAATATCGGCTTAAAATCATAGGAAGATATAAAGA